ATCACTATAAGCCTTGCAAGCATTGCAACTAATGAGTTAGTTGTGGGATGATGTATTACGGAACGAGTAAAGAGACTTGCCGGTAACGAGATTGAACTAGATATTGAGATACCGACGACCGAATCTCGGGCAACTAACATACCAATGACAAAGGGAACAACGTATGTTGTTATGCGGTCTGACCGATAAAGATCTTCGTAGAATATGTAGGAGCCAATATGGGCATCCAGGTCCCGCTGTTGGTTATTGACCAGAGAGGTGTCTCGGTCATGTCTACATAGTTCTCGAACCCGTAGGGTCCGCACGCTTAACGTTCGTTGACAATATACTACTATATGAGTTATGTATGTTGATGACCGAATGTTGTTCGGAGTCCGGGATGAGATCACGGACATGACGAGGAACTCCGGAATGGTCCGGAGATAAAGTTTGATATATGGGATAGTAGTGTTTGATCTCCGGAAGGGTTCCGAAATTCACCGGAAGGGATTCCGGATGTTTCCCGAAATGTTTGGGCACGAGAACACTTTATCTGGGCCAAAGGGGAAAGCCCACAAGGCTTTTGGAAAGTGCAAAAGGAAGTTTTGCGGAGACCAGAGGCTAGACGACAGGAACCCTAGCGTCTAGGGGGTAGACGCCGGGAACCCTGGCGTCTAGCCCTGGAGTCCGAGAAGGACTCTTGCCTTTCGGGTGAAACCAACTTTGAGGAGGCTTTTGCTCCAAGTTTCGATCCCAGGGCTCAACTTATAAATAGAGGGGTAGGGCTAGCACCAAAGACACATCAAGAAACACCAAGCCGTGTGTCGGCAACCCCGTCCCCTCTAGTTTATCCTCTGTCATAGTTTTCGTAGTGCTTAGGCGAAGCCCTGCGGAGATTGTTCTTCACCAACACCGTCACCACGCCGTCGTGCTGCCGGAACTCATCTACTACTTCGCCCCTCTTGCTGGATCGAGAAGGCGAGGACGTCACTGAGCCGAACGTGTGCAGAACTCGGAGGTTCCGTGCTTTCGGTACTTGGATCGGTCGGACATGAAGACGTACGACTACATCAACCGCGTTGATATAACGCTTCCGCGAACGGTCTATGAGGGTATGCAGACAACACTCTTCCCTCTCGTTGCTATGCATCACCATGATCTTGCGTGTGCGTAGGAATTTTTTTGAAATTACTACATTCCCCAACAGCATCATCACCGTCATCATGCCGTCGTGCTGACGGAACTCTCCCGTGAAGCTCTGCTGGATCAGAGTTCGTGGGACGTCATCGAGCTGAACGTGTGCTGAACTCGGAGGTGCCGTACGTTTGGTACTTGGATCGGTCGGATCGTGAAGACGTTCGACTACATCAACCGCGTTCTCATAACACTTCCGCTTACGGTCTACGAGGGTACGTGGACGATACTCTCCCCTCTCATTGCTATGCATCATCATGATTTTGCGTGTGCGTAGAATTTTTTTAAAATTATTACGTTCCCCAACACCGCGTGGGCCTCCTCAATCGATTGTGTGACACGACGTCGAGAGACAGCGACAAGGATGTGGTTGGCGCGGGGCAAAAAGGATTGACGACACGGTGTTCTACTGGATGGAGTGCATGCGGGAGGTGAAGAAAATGCATACTCTCAGATGCGAGAACCCAGATCTAGTGGCGGGCTTGTAGCGGGAAATCAAGATGTGCGAAATGTGCATGGATATAGAAATGAGGAATGCATCAGAGGTCATCATCCCTGAGGCCAATGATACAGAGCGTGCTCGGATGCCGACTCGGACTAGACTGAAATTGGTCCTCAAATGGGCGGTGCAAGCGGTGAAATTTAGATCTCGGTTCGAAGAGGCTAATGGGGATGTGTCATGGGGGATAACGCCGCCGAGACTGCCCCCACTACCATCGGATTCAACTGCATCCCAGCAACCGATCAACCTTCAGCGGTCGCCTTGCCATCTACTTGAACAGGTACCTAGTGCCTATCCTTAGTGCAGTTGATTCATTTGTAGGAGCTTAATTGAGCTAAGCTTTAATTTCCAAGTTAGACCGTAGATGATGATTTTCCTCTCTCTCTCTATATATATTAGCTTACACAACTACGCTCTGCATATCAAAATATAGACATTTTTGTATATTTCGGTACCAAAGTAGTAGTATGTGCTAACACGAGATCACTCGTCGACAGCGCGTAGGCGCGGCGCGTGGAACGCATAGAGGTGTTGTATGAGTCCATGCACATCGCGTGTGCCATCGTCCGCAAGCGGTGGTTGCTCTGCGTCAACGAGAAGGAGAACGATCGCGTGTTCGAGGAGATCACGGCTGGGTCGAACACGGAGGCGACGCAGGCTATCGCGGACGGGAATGCTACCAACATCGGCAGTTCTGCGCCGCTCGCGCCTTGCCATATCAACCACGAGGTCAGACCATCCACGTCTATCGGCGATGTTCATGACCAGGCGGTGGACTTCGACAAAGAGTAGGAGGTGGATACGGACATGCCACGTCGGGCGAATAGCAGGACGTGGGCCACGGACGTGCCCACGGCAAGAGAAGATTTAAACGGTGGTATCTTTTGGTATGAATTTTTTTCGGTGTTAATAAAAATGTCATGTATACTTTATTTGATGTGCCGGATTGGATGACCAACGCGTCCGCGGAAAATTTGGTGTGTGTGATTTGATTTGAGGCACGTCGTTAGAGAAGCCCTGACATATAGTTCCTACGTTCCAAATTACTCATCGTGAAAATAAATATACGTAAAACTAAAATACATCTAAATACATCCATTTCTATGACAAATAATTCGAAACGGAGGAAGTACATATAAACGTAGGTTTCACCGGAAGAAATTCTACAAGTCCATCCTACCACCCAAGTCCATCCAGATTCATCCCTCGGTTGAACGTGCCTAGACTCCCGTGTTCAAGGCTAGACTACGAAGCCCGAAGCAGCGTAGACAAAACCAGCAGCCCGCGCAGAAGATCGAGCCGATTGGTCAGAGCCGTGCCCCCGCACGTGACAGGCCGACAGCGACGCGTCCTGGTGCATGGCAACACTCTTACATCCCCATGGCGACATCCCAGCCAGCTCCGCCGTCTCTTTCACCCCTCTCTGCTCCCACCACCATATCCCTTTTTCATGTTTCTTTTCCATATCCCGTTCATTTATCTACGTATTCCCTTCATTCCACAATATAGTGCTTTCTCTATCCACGTGCTTCAACTTTAACCGTAAATAGGGGCGAATTTACCGTACGGGCATCCTGGGCACGTGCCCAGGCTCCATCCCGTCAATTTTTTGAACTATAACAAACCTTTCTAGGCATCGTATGCATCAAAAATGCTCAAAAACAAGAAAATACGATGGAAAGTACGTAAACTTCTTTAACTGGGTCAGTCTGAGCGTTTTTCTGCAGTTTGGGCCTTACTCATATCAGCTAAGCAATCACATGGACCACAACAACCAGTAGGCCTTGTTTGCTTGATCGATCCATAAATGGACTGAAGCAAAATCGATCGATGCCTGTTCGTTTTCGTGCGCAGGAACGCGAGATCGGAGTCGCGACCTTACCATCTGCTGCGCGGCTGCGCCTCCGACGCGGCGAGGGCGCGATGCAGACCATCGCCTGACGGAACTCGGCAGCCAGATTAACATCGGCCGGTAAGATTGCAAAAGAGATCAGAGATAACATGCGGCCAGGCCTCGGCTATGACTCCGGCGGGCGACGGTCAAGATCGGAAGCACAAGCGCGGGCGCCACAACGGCGAATCCTCCTGTACCACCAGTGAGAATTCAACTCTGGCTCGATCGGACGTTGGGTCGTCAGCGTCGACACTAACCACATGAGCAGCGGCAGGCCGGCAGCGAGCGCTCAACCCGTTGAAGGGCATGACCAAGAGAAATCCAGTAGCAGAGCGCCAACAATTAGGGCTAAAGGCAAGTGGCAACTAGGTGAGTTATTTGATTTGGTATTGTATTCAAGTTTTTATTTACTTCTTTGATCTATAAAAGATCAGTGTATATATTGCACATGACATTTATTCAAATATATGATACTCCCTCCGTTCATAAATATAAGATGTTTTAGCTTTTGGCCACATTCCACACGTATCAAATGTATCTAGACATGTTCTAGTGTGTACATTCATTCATTTTAGTATGGATCTAGACAACATGTGGAACACCTAAAACATCTTATATTAAAAAACGGAGGGAGTACTTACCATGTTTGATAGACCAAAGTAAATTTTAGCTTACGAGATGCCCGGGCTTTGGCAATTTGCTGGCTCCGCCACTGACCATAAATTTAACTACCAACACCGATTGCGGCGGGAGCAAAAATTATATCAGTGAATTCGTATTCAAAAGAAGTTTTTAATTATATAACTTTTTCCCTGCCGTAGTTGGTCTCGTTGATTAAATTTATGATCAAAGTTGAACCTCGAAAAACATGGGCGTACTATATTTTGAAATGGAGGGAGTAACACAAAAGGCAAAGCCGTTCCCATTCGTGCCCACAGTGCGGGGCAGAGGTGTCCATCACAAAGCTCACCAGGAAACTTGGTTCATGACTTCATACGTACTTCATCTGTTCTAAATTACTCGTTGCAGAAATGAATATATCTAAAACTAAAATATACATCTAGATAAATCCATTTCTGTGACAAGTAATTCGAAACGAAGGAAGTACGTTCTAGGTAGGTGTTTCTCTTTTTATTTCTTTATATTCAAATACAACTAGTAGCTGGCGAACAACTTTTTGTTGTATGGAGCAAGAATAATGCTCGCCACGTTATCACATCCTGGAGACACACACACTCTCTACTATCTACTTCTATTTATACTGCGGGTTGGCATCGTGATGTGTTGTCATCCTGCGACTTCTTTGTGCTTCCGCTCGCCGGGGAGGGCATTCATCCATTCAGTTTCATTCAATACACTACCAACTACACCCAGACACACCTGGGGCGGGGCGGCGGGCGTTGTGTATTGCTTCACCACCGCCTAATCGCCATGGGCTCCCTCGCCGCCGCCGACGAGCCGCTGCCTCCTCTCCGGTACCCTCCGGCCCGCCGCGACGGCGACATTGTGGATGACTACCATGGCGTTCTTGTGCCGGACCCCTACAGATGGTGAGTAATCTGAATCTGCTCGTAGTATCCACCATGTTCCAGGGGTCTGGTTTTTTGTTGTTTCTCTTCGATCTGGAAAGCACACTCGCGAGAGCGTTTCTTCGGCCTGCGCATGTATGAACTCCAGCTTGATACATGCCAACCCGAGAGATGCAGGAGTATTTGTTGTGTTCAAGAAGAAGAAGAAGAAGAAGAAGAAGAAGAAGAAGGAGTATTTGTTTGCGTTTTCAGCTAACGTATCCATCCGGCCATACCATGAAATCCGTTTTTCCTTTTCTTTTGTTTTTGCAAAAGCCATGGCTTGGTCCATACTTTCTTTCTTTTTTGCGGGTAGATCCTTGATTCATGCGCGTGCTATGTTGCTATGGCCCATGGCTGTCATATTGGTGCTGCCAAATATTATTGGTGAAAGAACAAAGGAAAACAGTTTAGTTAGGAAAACATTATTAGAGCACGGATTTATTTTTCCTTCAAAAAAGGCAGTACGGTTTAGATAGCATTTGTACGCACACACAGAAGATGCATTTTTTTAGAGGTGTGTATAGGGCACATCTAGATGTGCTCTAATTATTGCACATCTAAGTGAGTGAATCAAGTATAAAGAAAAAAAATATTCACATGAATCTCAATATAAAATCAATGACATATGACTTTGATGTGCAATATTTATGACACATCTAGATGTGTTTTAGCAAAACTTTTTTTTAGCACACAGTACATGCAGTTCATCTTACTAGGAAGGTAAGTTTCATTTTTCCTTCAAGAAAAAGTACGGGTTATCTTCAAAAAGAAAAAGTACGGGTCTAGGACAAGGAACAGTCCCTTGGATGTATTTCTATCATTTTAGCACATACGGCACAGTTTTTTTTAACTAGAAATGCATCGTTTTTGCAACTACCCCTACAGCCAAAACACTTGCACGACGGCACAGGAGAATCATTGGTCCATTCATTTCACCGTGGTGGCATCAAGATCGAGTACACCGCTCGTGGCGCTCATGCGCCCCTATGCACCAAAAGATGACACCTCCTTGGAGACTGCAGTAATAACACCACACTTGCTGCTAAAAAATTCACCACGCCAGAGGAGAGGAGGATCACTGCTCCATTCATTTCACCGCGGCTGCACCCAGAGCACTGAGCACTGAGCACACAGCTCTCGGCAAGCTGTACTGTATCTGTACGCCACCCACATGCTTCTCTGAAGCTTCTTCAGAAGCACACCGAAGCTCGCGCTTTTTACAGTTTTACTGTAGTACACGTTCGAACCTCTTTGCCTGTGGCGCTGGCTGTCTGTCACGTTGTTGTTTCGTGCCGTGGGTAACGTATGGGCTCGTCAGGATGGAGGAGCTGGAGTCGGAGGAGGTGAAGGAGTACGTGGGCGCGCAGGCGGCCCTGGCGAACGCCGTGCTCGCCACCTGCGACCACCGCGGGCGCCTGCGCGGGCAGCTCACGGCGCTGCTCGACCACCCGCGCTACCGCGCCCCCTTCAAGCGCGCCGGCACCTACTTCTACTTCCACAACCCCGGCCTCCTCCCCCACAGCGCCCTCTACGTCCAGGTGCACACCAAACCGCCGCATACACCTTTTTCTTCACTTCAGAGGCAACGCCTCCACAGCACTGATCGTCTCCAAATCAATCGTGTGTGCAGCACGGGCTGGGCGGCGAGCCGAGCGTGCTGCTGGACCCGGGCGAGCTCAGCGACGACGCCACGGTGTCGCTCTCCATGATCGGCGTCAGCGACGACGGCGAGCACCTCGCCTACGGCACCAGCGCCAGCGGCAGCGACTGGGTCACCATCAGCGTCATGCGCGTCCGCGACAGGCGCCGCCTCCCCGACGCCCTGTCCTGGGTCAAGTTCTCGCGCATCGCCTGGACCAGCGACGGCATGGGCTTCTTCTACTCGCGCTTCCCGGCTCCAAAGTAACTGACACTTCATGGCATGAGTGCTCTGTGCTTTGCTTGATACAGTAGTAAAATCCATGGGTATCATCTTGTCTCATGCCTTGCTCCGGTTTTGGCGCGCATGCAGGGACGACGACGGCGCGCCGGAGTCCGGGATCAGGACCGACGTTAACCTCAACCACGAGGTCTACTACCATTTCCTCGGAACTGACCAGTCTGACGATGTCATGTGCTGGAAGGACCCCGAGCATCCAAAGTACATATACACCCCCGAAGTTACAGAGGACGGCATGGTACACTTGCCATTGCCAACCAACTTACTACTGCCTTGCTCATCACCAATCTTGTTGACACTTCGGGGCTAAATTTGTGTTTTGATTCTTTTCTGAAACCTATTTGAGATTTGACCCTAATTTAAATTTATTTTTAAGATCTGACCCTTTTGCTACCGTCAGGGACCATGACGGTAGGGTATAACAGCCTACCGCCAAGGTCCCTGGCGGTAGGGTTGCATGCCCTACCGCCAAAAACCTCCTAAGTATTGAACACAGTGCGTACTCATGCCTACCGCCAAGCACCTTGGCGATAGGGTTGTGCAGACTACCGCCAGCCAGGTTGGCGGTAGCGATGTTTCCTACCGCCAAAGTCCATGTCGGTAGGCTGTTAGACCCTACCGCCATAGACTCTGGCGGTAGCAAAAGGATCAGATCTCGAAAAAATTTCAAACTAGGGTCAAATCTCGAATAGGTTTCAGAAAAGGGTCAAAACACGAAAATTTGCCACACTTCGGTAGCTGATACAGTATATTTTACTGCTTCTGTTGCAGTACGTGCTCCTGTCAGTTTCAGAGAGTTCAGAGCCGGTCAACAAGCTGTACTACTGCGACCTCTCAGCTCTTTCCCATGGGCTTTCAGGCATGAAAGCAAAAGGAACCCACGAAATGCTCCCCTTTGTGAAGCTCGTGGACGAATTCGAGGCCTTCTACGGAGTCGTCGCCAACGACGGCACCCGATTCACAATCCAAACAAACAAAGACGCTCCGAGGTACAAACTGTCGCGGGTCGACGTCAACGACCCGCAGTCCTGGACCGATGTTCTGCCTGAAGACGACAAGGCTGTCCTAGAATACGCTTGTGCTGTCCACGGTGACAAGCTTCTGGTGAACTATTTGTCGGATGTCAAGTACGTGCTGCAGATGAGGAGCCTGGCCACCGGAGAGCTGCTCCACGGCATACCCATCGACATAGGCAGCGTCAACGGGATCACCGGTAGGCGTGGCGACTCCGAGGTGTTCGTCGAGTTCTCGAGCTTCCTCACTCCGGGGATCGTCTACAGGTGTGATCTCAGCTCCGGGGCTCCTGAGATGAGCATATACAGAGAGATCACCGTCCCGGGCTTCGATCGCACGGATTTCGAAGCGAAGCAGGTACATTTACTTTTCTCAAGAACCATGTGTGGTGTATTTGCAGTTCAGTTGATCTTGCTTGCTTGTTTTTTCAGGTGTTTTACCCGAGCAAGGACGGGACCAAGATCCCGATGTTCGTGGTGTCGAGGAAGAAGATCGTCCTGGACGGGTCGCACCCGGCGCTGCTCTTCGGCTACGGCGGGTTCGGCATGAGCATGACGCCGCAGTTCAGCGCGGCCCGCGTCGTCCTCATGAGGAACCTGGGGTTCGTGACGTGCGTCGCCAACATCCGGGGCGGCGGCGAGTACGGGGAGGACTGGCACAAGGCCGGCTCGCTCGCGAACAAGCAGAACTGCTTCGACGACTTCATCGCCGCCGGCGAGTTCCTCGTGTCCGCCGGGTACACGAGCCCGAGCCGGCTGTGCATCGAAGGCGGGAGCAACGGCGGCCTCCTGGTCGCCGCCTGCATCAACCAGGTAAAGCTGGCTAGTCTTTATAATTTTGTTGCAGATTGTTGCAGCTCATTTGTTCCAGTAGTGAGCGGAGATTGTTTCATTGTTTGTGACTGCAGCGGCCCGGTCTCTTCGGCTGTGCTCTGGCTCACGTCGGTGTCATGGACATGCTTCGGTTCCACAAGTTCACCATAGGTTTTGCCTGTCGCCTCTCCTCTGAAAACCGCATCCTGTTTGTGTCCACAGTGGTCACCTTGTGAGTGTCTGCCATGCATCCAGGTCGTGCATGGGCTTGCGATTTCGGCTGCTCGGAGAAGGAGGAGGAATTCCACTGGCTTATCAAGTACTCCCCTCTGCACAACGTGAGGCGGCCGTGGGAGAAGGGCGCCGCCGGCGACCAGCAGTACCCTCCCACCATGCTGCTGACGGCGGACCACGACGACCGCGTTGTGCCGTCGCACACGCTCAAGTTCCTCGCGGTACGCACGTCTCCCGTACTTACTATTTTGGGTTGAGATCGCTATCAAAATGACGATTTGTGTGGGTCTTGTGCGTGCGTACGTCAGACGATGCAGCACGTCCTGTGCAGGAGCGTGGAGCAGAGCCCGCAGAGCAACCCCATCGTCGCCCGGATCGACCGCAAGAGCGGCCACGGCTGCGGCCGCTCCACGCAGAAGATCGTACGAACGATGTTCTTCTCTTCTTTTTTCTCACACAGTACGCTCTCACCTTGGCTGAAATGTTGTTCGCTGACTGCTGCATCTGATTGGCAGATCGACGAGGCTGCGGATCGTTACGCGTTCGCGGCCAAGATGATGGGGGTCTCTTGGATCGACTGAGTTCCATCTCCGGTTCTCCGGCTCTCCGGGCAGCTAGCTGTAGTGCGGCTATTGTGCACACCTATGGATAGCGACGCAGAGCTTTCGGGTGTTGGCCAAGAAACTACTACTGTGTTAATAACCGGCATCTGACGGGATTACCATATATGCTAACGAATGGTGCTTATGACTCAACATAGCAAAAAAGAAGGAAAACATATCGGCACATTGCTCTGCAATCGTTGTCCCAGAGTAACTTTATCCGTCAGTCACTTCCGCAAAACAAAAATTATACGTCAGTCACGATATGCTGCTCAATAGTTTTTTTTTTGAGACAATGGGCAGCAACCTCTCATTCATTCAGCAATTATTCAGTACAAATAACGCCCCTGATGATCTCAGGAGGCTCATTTAACCAACACGATCCATAGTCATGTTATGCCGATCTGGTAAGAACATGGGCTGCCCCATTACATACTCTGCTAACATATTTAAAGGTACAAGGTACAAACTTTTTTGGCTCTCATCTTAATATCATGAACAATGGCACCTGTCGATGCCCTATCGAACCCTTGCTGCTGCAACTTGTTAACAAGTGAGAGGCAATCAGAACAACTTGGAAAAAAAATACTGAACTCCTATGCTTTCAGCAAGCATAAGTGCCTGGCAGATGGCCTCTGCTTCAGCAATTTCAGGACAATGCACATGATCAACAACGCCTCGACAAGCGGCATGCATTACTCCTAGATGATTACGCATGACAGCACCATATCCAGCTTTTGCAGTACCGGAGAAGATCGCAGCATCCATGCTGATCAGCATGAGGTCCTCCGGTGGCGGGGCCCATTTCTGAATTGACGTCAAGGTCTCACGCCTGATGGAGCATTCAGAACTGACATTGTTCAACAAAATAAAGTCAATGTAAGCTTTGATCTTTCCAGATACACGTAAGAGATGAGGTATGGACTCACCATTTCCGCAGGAGTTTCTATTCTCCCATATATGCCAACAAGCCACTGCAAATATCATCGAATGGAACATCGAAGCATTAGAAATCCAATCCAAAAACCATTGCCTGATATGAGAAGTCGTTTAGATTTAGGCTGCTGCTCGATAGTTGAGAATTGCAGTCGAGCACTTTCCGCCTCTGCCTTTATATCTGACACTCAAGGACAATTGTTCATGTGCCATGAAGATATTCTCCCATGCCACCGGAACATTTCAATGAACCATCTATGTGCACATGGCAAAAATATAGTTTTTTTTAGTTGACCGCAAAAGATAGTTGAAGCATTCAAGAAAAGTGCAGAGATTCATGCCTAACTAAATCATATGAACATTATCCAAAAAAGATAGGAAGCGTTCTCTTTATTTTTGGCTGGGAGGGGAATGACATGATTCTCAATCATTATCTAAAAGAACATCTAAATGCAAATGTTGGGAGCATTCTCCCATCATTATCTAAAGTATTTGCTGTTGGGGAACGTAGTAATTTCAAAAAACATCCTACGCACACGCAGGATCATGGTGATGCATAGCAACGAGAGGGGAGAGTGTTGTCTACATACCCTCGTAGACCGTAAGCGGAAGCGTTTATCAATGCGGTTGATGTAGTCGTACACCTTCACGACCCGTCCCGATCAAGTACCGAACGTACGTCACCTCCGCGTTCAGCACACGTTCAGCTCGATGACGTCCTCGCCTTCTCGATCCAGCAAGAGGGGCGAAGTAGTAGATGAGTTCTGGCAGCACGACGGCGTGGTGACGGTGTTGGTGAATAACAATCTCCACAGGGCTTTGCTTAAGCACTACGAAAACTATGACGGAGGATAAACTAGAGGGGACGGGGTAGCCGGCACACGGCTTGGTTTTTCTTGGTGTGTCTTTGGTGCTAGCCCTGCCCCTCTATTTATATGTTGAGCCCTGGGGTCGAAACTTGGAGCAAAAGCCTCCTCAAAGTCGGTTTTGCCCGAAAGGCAAGAGTCCCACTCGGACTCCAGGACCAAACGCCACAATCCTTGGCGTCTGGCCCAAATGCCATGGGCCTCGGCATCTGGCCCAGGGCCAGACGCCAGGGTCTCCGGTGTTTGGTCCCCTGGCCTCCGCAAAACTCCTTTTGCACCGACTTATAGCCCCGTGGGCCTGACCCCTTGGCCTAACCATATCATCCAATATATGAATCTTTACCTCCAGACCATTCCGGAGCTCCTCATCATGTCCGTGGTCTCATTCGGGACTCCAAACAACATTCAGTTACCAACATACATAACTCATAAATACTATATCGTCAACGAACGTTAAGCGTGCGGACACTACGGGTTCAAGAACTATGTAGACATGACCGAGACACTTCTCTGGTCAATAACCAATAGCGGAACCTGGATGCCCATATTGGCTCCTACATATTCTACGAAGATCTTTATCGGTCGAACCGCATAACAACATAGGTTGTTCCCTTTGTCATCGGTATGTTACTTGCCCGAGATTCGATCGTTGGTATCTTAATACCTAGTTTAATCTCATTACCGAAAAGTCTCTTTACTCGTTCTGTAATACATCATCCCGCAACTAACTCATTAGTTACAATGCTTGCAAGGTTTATAGTGATGTGCATTACCGAGTGGGCCTAGAGATACCTCTCCGACAATCGGAGTGACAAATCCTAATCTTGAAATACGCCAATCCAACAA